GAGTCCCGGGGGTGCCTTCTCTGTGACTGTCCAGGCAGCTGGTGTGTATTAACCATTTTCTTAGTGCCAGCCACTCGGCTCTTGTCCCGGGGCCAGAGACGCCACCCTGTGCTGCTGAGACTGAGCAGGGCTGCTCTGGCTTCTGGGCTGGGCTGTCCTCCCTAGCCTATGCACACCACACCTTCCGCCAGCCCTGGAAACCTACCACCCTCAGGCTGCAGGTCAGAAGAGGCCTTACAGAGCACCTTGTCTATCCAGCCCCCTTGCCCTGGTCAGAATCCCTCTCCACCATTCCCTCCATGGCCCTTCCAGCTTCTGCTATGTTACTCAGCAGTAACAGGAAGCCCATTACCCCCCAGGCTGCCCTTCCAGCCCTGTTATGACGGATCCACACGTGGCCTGTCCTTACCCTGGCGGTGGAGCCTCCTATGCCCTCAGACACCTCCTGAGTGCTGAAGGACAGAGCCCTGGGGAGTGGACAGGGTTCTGTCCTGCACCAGGAGGGCGACAGAGGCAGCCCTGTATGGACGCTGCGTAGGCTCACAGAAGCCTCCCAGATGAGGTATAGGGGCTGAGTGTGTAGCTGTGCAGATGAGCCATCCATTCATGGAAAATTTTGAAGCCCCCCACACACACACACACACCCCAATCAGGTACCTTGAATGTGGCGCTGGCCCTTTAAAGCAGATCAGGGGCTGGCTTTTGGGGGGAAACAGCCCAGATTTCTGCCATCTGCTTACAAGCATGGGCCAGGGAGGGGGGCCACCCCAGCCCCCGACAGGGGCATTGGAAGGGCAGGTGGAGCCAGTGGCATTGATTGCAGTAACCTGATCCCGTGGGGGAGGCAGCAACGACAGCAGCAGCGCAGCGCGGGCCGGACTGGGGCAGGAAGCTGCCTGCAGCTGAGAGCTGGGCTGGGAAGGGCTGGGGCCCAGGTCGGCAGCCGCTGTTTCCTCTCCCGGCCCATCTATTTTTAATGAGCTCCCCAGGCTTCTGCAGTGGACAGGACGCAGAAAGGCAGGCCCAGGCAGTGGAGGCCCAAGGCCCCAGCCTTGACCTGAGCCCTGGCCCCCCCACCCTTCTGGGCATGAGAGGGCGGCCCTGGGGCCCCGCAGCCCCCTGGCCGGGCAGGGCTCTCCATGCAGCTGGTGCTGAAGATGGATTCGAGCCCAGACAATGACAGCTGGTTGGAGGATCAGTGGGAGCGCTGGTAGGGGTGCGGGGGCCGGTGGGGAGGGGGGAAAGTTTGGGGGGCAGCTCCATTGAGCTCTGGGTCTCTATTTGGTCTGACTGAGGTGAGAGTCAGAGGGCATGGGTCTCCTAGGCTCCCCTGGGTGCTGGGCCACGACCTCTCCTGGGTGACCTTGGCTTATGGATTTTTCTTGCTCTAAACCTTAATCTCATTTGGGAAAATGCTCAGAATTCTCCCCAACTTCCCCAACAGAATTCTCCCAAATGTCTCATGCACACCAAGCCAGGTGGAGCCTAGGGCTGGGTGTGAGCAGGTACAGGAGGCAGGCAGGCAGGGCAGTGGGGTGGGGGCACAGGGCTGGGGTAGGGGGAGAGGGTCCGGTTAGTGTTCTGGTGCTAACGTGCCCTGGCCTGCCCCCTGAGCTCATGGCACCTCCAGACCCCACCCCGAGGTCTTCATTGACCCCATCTGTGCAGCCTCCTGTTCAGGGTCCATATGCTGAGCAAAGCAATTTTGTGGTTGAAGAGATGAGACCAAGAACAGAGAATGGGGGCCTACTTTCTCCTGGAACAGGCTGAAGCTAGCCATACTGACACCAGATTGCCCTTCATTGCTCCACAGCTCTAGCAGCATGGGTCCTACTGGGCTGGGGGCATGGAGCACTCCTCTGGGGCTGGGAAGGGGCCTGCGCCAGCGCCTTGAGTTTTGTTGCTGCAGGGATTGCACAAGGAAACCCCCACCCGCCGCCCCAACTCCAGGCATCCCGCAGAGTCTCTTCTCAACTCTCTGCATTCTGCAGGGGTGAACAGGCCTTGGCACCTGCCTTGACCCTGGGAGGCATTTCTCTGGCAGAGCTGAGGCTCTGACCAGCTGGGCCTTCGAGGCACTGCCTCTTGTTTGGCAACAGGATGGACAACTCTCAGCTGGGAGGCGCAGGAGTAACCTGGAGCCTCTCCTTCTTCGACTGCCACTCCAGGAGGACTGGAGTGGGCATGAGCCCAAAACTCCCTGCCTGTTAGTTACCCCTTGCATTGGGACAGGCGGACCCCAAGTCCCATCATCTGGGGGCTGTGATCTGGCTTCAAAGGGCTTCCCCTTGGAAGACATGCTAGGGAGACATCAGTGGGCTGAGCAGTCCCCCTGTGTTGTAACTTGGGCTTCCTATCCCCACCAGGCTTACCCATGACATCAGTCTGGAGGAGTTTGAGGATGAAGACCTCTCAGAGATCACCGATGAGTGTGGCATCAGCCTGCAATGCAAAGACACCCTGTCCTTACGGGTAAGGTTGGGCTCCCAGGAGCCCCTGAGTGGGGTGGCAGGATGGGGAGGGACAGGATTAAGGGCGTCCCCAAATCTACAAAGGTGCTTTCAGGGTCTAACCGCACCCTCATTAAATGAACTAACATGCAGGAAGCATTCAGTACAATGCTTGGCCTATCTTGGTGCTCAGTCAGAATTTTTTTTCTTTTTTGCTAGGAGTTAAGGTAGGAGGCAGCTCCTTCAACTGCCTACAAGAAGGGAGGGGGCAGGAGGTCTTAAGATCTAGGAAGGTAGCAGGTAGGGCCTGAGCTAAGGGAAGGCTCAGGACTATCCTAAATCCTTTTGGGAGTGGCCTTGGCAGAGGGCCTGAGGCAGAGCAGGGTGGAGTCTGGTGAAATCTGCAGTGCTTAGGGGCAGGAAAAAAGGGCCAAGGCACTCCCTCGGCTGCCCTTGCACCAAACCACACCACATGGCTTCGCAGACCCTCTCTGACCTGCAGTCTTAAAGGCCCCTTTGGAGGGTCAACCCAGCATTGCTGCTTTTGACCCCATGGCTTTGTCATAGGNCTGCAGCCCACGCCGTCGCCGGCAACTCATGGCAGCCCAGCTCCAGGTTGAGCTGTTGTTCAGCATCTTAGCTGTGGAGGACAGTGTCACTGGCCCTCATATGTGGGATCCGAACCGGGGCCCTCTGGCATCCCAAGCAAGTTCTTAACCATCGCGCCACTCGGCCGGCCCAGAGCTCGCACTTTTGAGCAAGCTTTAAACTCGACCAGCCCCAACAGAGTACTATTATTGTTATCCCACTTTTCAGATGAAGAAACTGAGGCATAAAGAGGTTAGATAAGTGGCAGAGCTGGGTCGGAACCCAGGCAGTCTGATTTCAGAGCCACCCTGAAAAGAGAGTGCCCTGGAGTATTGGGAGAGAGTTGGTGGAGGGGGTAAGCATGATATGGACCTGGAAGGGTGGGGAACGTTTGTTTGTTGATAGTTGGGTTCAATAAATATGTGTCCTTTTTTCTGATTCTAGAAATGCTCCAACCAGTTACTAATAGTTGCCTCTGGATATGGAATGGGGGAGGGGTTTTCACTTACTTTGCGTACTTCTGTACTCTTATTTTTACAAGTATAGGCTACTTCTGTAACTTACAAAATAATTTTTTAAATTTCATATTAAAGTGATACATGTTCATTACAGGCATATCTCGTCTTATTGCACTTCACAGATATTGCATTTTTACAAATTGAAGGTAAGAACCTCCACTAGCAAAAGTTTACAGCCCGCTGAAGACTCAGATGATTGTTAGCATTTTCTAGCAATAAAAGTTTTGGTGGTTTTTTTTTTTTAAGTTTTTATTGGGGAATTGGGGGAGGGGAACAGCGTTGGGGAATCAGGGAAGGGGAACAGACAAGTTGCTGTCCTTTTGTTCTTCAGTCTAGTTTATGGAGGACGTCGCTTCACTGGCTCATGTTGGTATTATCATTGCACTCTTCCCAGGTGAGGCAGATGGGTCGCCGGCCACTGGATGGCCGCTCACAGCGGCTCTTGGCAGCTCATGCTGGCTGCCGGCCACTCACAGTAGTTTATGCTGCTTTACTGCAGCCTACGCCGTTGCTGGCGACTCATGGCAGCCCAGCTCCAGGTCAAGTTGTTGTTCACCATCTTAGTTGTAGAGGGCACAGCGTCACTGGCCCTCATGTGGGATCTGAACTAGCTGCTCAGAGTTGGCGTCCTAAGCCAACTCTTAACCAATGCACCACTCAGCTGGCCCAAAAGTATTTTTAAATTAAGGTATGTACATTGGTTTTTTTTTTAGACATAATGCTATTGCACACTTAATAGACTACAGTATAGTATAAGCATAACTTTCATATGCACTAGGAAACCAAAAAGGTCGTGATGCGCTTTATTGCGCTATATGCTTCATTGTGGCGATCTGGAACCAAACCTGCAATATCTCCGAGGTATGCCTGTATAAAGGAAAATCCATAAGAGAATTTAGAAACCGATGCAATGGATACATTGAGCAGAGTAGGTGGGAGGAAGGGGAGGGACAGTAGGACAGTCCATGTGGGAGGGACAGAGGATGCTCATGGAAAGTGCAGTGAGCAGTCTGCCCTGGGTTCATGGGTGAAAGAGACAGTAGAAATCAGCTCATCCAAGCCAACCCTCTCCCCCTGCACTTCAGAGGAAACAGAGAAGCTAAGAGGCTTTCCCAAGAACACACAGCAAGTTAGAGGCAGAGCTGGGACAGAACCTCGGCCCCATGACTCTTTGGATGGTGGTGATTTTACCCTACCACGCTGCCTCAGAGATGAGAGAGGCCACCGAGAGATGCAGGGACCTCCTCACTTATCTCATCACAAGGGGGACACACTTGGCTTGTCCTTCATTCCTACTCAGCAAACATTTGTACTTTGCCAAGCTCACTCCAGAAGCAGACATGGGCCTGGTCATCCTGCAGGCAATGGTGTAGAGGGCAATCAGACAGGTAGACAGGCCTCACAAGAGAGGCTAGTAGGCGTGGGTAACTAGGATCATGGGCCTTGGGGTCAGCAGGGTCAGGAACGGGTCTTTTCAGCTCAGGCCTGGTGGGGGAATGAGTATCACCTAAGAGGAGGAGGGGTGACGAGGGAGGGGCAGCATGGACGAAGGGCCCACAAAGAGAGCAAGCAGGGTGTCTGCCACCCAATCTGGCACGAGTGTGGAGAGCACGGCGTGCAGAACTTGAAGGCCATGTTGGGAACCTGGCCTGTTCACCAACTGGCAGTGGGAACAGCAAGGCTTTAGGCAGGGGACGACAACATCACACCCATGCCTTGGGGAGATCACTCTGTCTGCTGGGGGGAGAGTGGATTGGATGGGGAGGCAAGGGGACCACTGGCCATCCTGCAGGGGAGAAAGGATCAGGGAAGATGTGAGGAAGATTTAAAGGATGGACGATTGGTGAGGGGTCTGGTATAAGGAGTGGGGGAAAGGTAGGAGTCCCAGATGATGCTGGGCCCCTTGGGGATGGGGTGCCCAGTGGGAGCGCTTTGGCAGGCAGGGAGGTGAAATTATTATGAGACCTGCTGAATCTGAGGTTGGTGGTCCTTACGGGACCCAACTGGAGGATTCAAGCAGGCAGTTGGTTTTGGGTCCAGGGCCTGTTGGAGAGGATTGGGCTGGGGCAGAGGATCCTGGGAGCCTCATCTTAGAGAGGTGCTCACTGAGGCCTCAGAGAGAACATTGCTGTGCAGGAGACAGCAGATTGAAGGGACACGGCCCGGGACCAGGCTGAGGAATGCCAGCCCCGGGACCCGTTTAGCCAGCCATGGTTTGGTAGGCGGCCGGCCGGCGGGGTGGGGGGAGTGATTGCTGCTGGAGGAGCTTCCCAGCCCATAACCCCAGCCCTTGACAGCGCCCCCTAACCTGGCTCTCGGTGCACCTTTGGTGTGGGGACAGTGGGGACTTGCCTCACAGCCCAGACAAGGCCAAGGCAGGATTTCCACCCCGGTTCTTTGATGTCAGAGCCTTAGAGTTGGTCTCTGGATTGTTGGAACTGGGCCAGTTATGGCTTGGGACCCTGGTAGATTCCACAAATTGGGTCACTGCCGCCATCCGCACTAGGGGTTCTTCCCCTTTCTAGAATGCCATCTCTGTCTGCTGGCCCCACTCTTGTAGTCATTCACAAAAAACATCTCGGGAGCATCGACTATGGGCACTGGAGATGCACGTGGTGCTGTGCATGTGACTGCTTTCCGTGCCGCAGTCAACCAGTGCTTCCTTTAATAGGCATGTGTTTCGTGCCTGCGGCATACAGGGCCTTGGGCTTTATGCACAGATGACAGCGAGGGTGGGGATGGTCCCAGGGGGAAAATGATGGCCCCTGCCTTCAGGAAACAGCTCTGTGAGAGAGTGGGCAGCCCAGCACCAGGACTGGGAGCCTGATGCCAGGCTGGTATGACCTGGGGCAGAAAGTCTGTCATGGAGCGCAAGGGGAGGAGCTCCCCGCAGGTCCCACCACATCTCACAATGGTGCCCTGTGTGTGATTCATCGCACGAAACCATAAGGTCACACATTCTGTCTTGACTCATTATACTACCTGCCATCTTCCACATTAATACACGGTCTTTATAATATTCACCCAGAAGGCTGCATAATACTCCTTCCAGGGAATTTAACCGGCCCCCTGGTGCTGGGCTATTTGGTGGTTTTCTGTTGTTTGCTGGTATGAGGAATACACATCCT